GTCTGTGGAGGAAAAATATATATATAGTCCTTGTATATCAGATCTTGTGAGCCTTCCCTTTGTAAACAGAGGGGATGCTTGCTGGGTCTGACTCTAGTTTCTTAAAAATTCATAATTTTTTTTTTTCCCCATTCGATTACATTCGTTGATTAAAAATTAATTCACACGCTTTTTAAATTCCCAGAATGAATAAACTTGATAAGTTCTGGGACGAAACCGGTTGTTTTTATTTTAGCGTTTGCTTTTAAAAATGCCTTATAAATATTGTCTTTTCCTATCTATTATTAAATTCTCTACCACAAAAAACTTATATATATATATATATATATATATATATAGGTGAAGAGGGTGACGAGATCATGAGCTGTTTAAGATCCAATAGAGATTTTTTTTTTAAGCATTATGCCCCGAGCAAGGTGTGAAGCCACTAGGATGCAGGGGGTTGCAGAAGATTTGGAGCGAGAGCAGATAGGAGTGATAGAAGAAAGGATGAGGAGAAGGATAGTGGATAGATCAAGGCAACTGGAGATGTCGATTGACATTACATTTGAATAGTTGGAGATTATAGCTCTCAGGGAAACTGTAATTGGGAAGGGTGTTCCACAGGCGAGAGGTGCGAGGTATGAAGCTATTGGAGTAGAAGAGACGGCTACATTTAAAAGTTTCTACAGTGTAAGGGCGAGAGCGGGATGCCTGCCTCGTTCAATTAGACATAGCAGTAGCCATCCTTTTGTTGTCGACTTCGACCTTGCTGGCTACTCCTGATAGCTGTCTAAGACGGATTTTGAATTTTTTCTCGCGCCTTTCCTGGCGTCTCAGACGAACAGCGTTTTCAAGCCAGTTGCTTCCCGATCTTTCAAGCTGAACGGACAACTCATTTATTCCGTGCCCTTAACCCATACGCGGGCCGGAATATCTTATTACTAACCACCAAAATTTCAACATGTCGACCTTACACTTTACCAAGACTCATTCTCATCTTGATGTAACCCGCAGGTCGAACCTTCTCCGTTTTCAACTAGAAAACGTGGAGACCCACGACACGGTCGTTGGTATATATTTTTCCAGGACAACTTGTCTTGATGCGAACAACTTTCGAACATTCTAACTACTTTGAACCAGTACCTAAAAAATATTACATACACTCACAATGCCAAATTCCACAGTAAGTACTTTTCATATTTGTGTACACGAACACCTTGCGTTAACAAGTCATTTTTTCAGAACTTTCTTTCTGATTAAACTTTTTCCCGCCTTAGCCATCTTGGTTTTCTGTTTTGGCGCGGAACACTTTTACTAATGGTCTCAACTGTCAAGACAATTACTTGTTTAAATATAATAAAATTTCATATATGTTTTTCAACCAGACGCCTTTTGTCATTTAATTCCGGCTATCTACTCGTATCATTATTTATGCACTTGTTGAATGACCCCTTTTTCCTCACTATGTTCACTCACGCAATATATTTCTACTTTGCTTGTGGATTCGGTAGTTTTGTGTAGTGTCTGGCACAAGGCCACTTTTTAATAAACCAGCACTGCACGCTACTGGATTTGCAACATGTCTATCTTTTTGACTCGTGTAAATCGTACAGATGTCTATTAATTCATGGTGATTTTTATACTAAAAAGACACGGGCATCTCTACGTGGTGCAATAGTGAGTAATATTGTCTCGCTAGATCAATTACAACAGAATAGTGAGTTCGATACTCACTGGGTGCTCCATTTTGCCCCTCTTCGGTATGGTGCAATGGTTAGCAAGCTTGTCTCGATCGATCAACTACGACCTCACACAGTGCTCTACTCTTTCGGTCTTGTGCCACACCTAAGCTACGCTTAGAAATTCATTTTTTTAGATCAGTTTCGCCTGAGTAGTGTGTTCGATTCTCACAGGGTGCGCCACACTTTTGGCCTTGTGCCCCACCTAAGATACGCTTAAAAAATCATTTTGGGGCACTTAGACGTGGCGTAACGGTTAACAAGCTTGTCTCGCTAAATCAATTACGACAGAATAGTGAGTTCGATCCTCACTGTGTACTCCATTTTGCCCCTCTTCGGTATGGTGCAATGGTTAGCAAGCTTGTCTCGATCGATCAACTACGACCTCACACAGTGCTCTACCCTTTCGGTCTTGTGCCACACCTAAGCTACGCTTAGAAATTCATTTTTTTAGATCAGTTTCGCCTGAGTAGTGTGTTCGATTCTCACAGGGTGCGCCACACTTTTGGCCTTGTGCCCCACCTAAGCTACGCTTAAAAAATCATTTTTGGGCACTTAGACGTGGCGTAACGGTTAACAAGCATGTCTCGCTAAATCAATTACGACAGAATAGTGAGTTCGATCCTCACTGGGTGCTCCATTTTGCGCCTCTTCGGTATGGTGCAATGGTTAGCAAGCTTGTCTCGATCGATCAACTACGACCTCACACAGTGCTCTACTCTTTCGGTCTTGTGCCACACCTAAGCTACGCTTAGAAATTCATTTTTTTAGATCAGTTTCGCCTGAGTAGTGTGTTCGATTCTCACAGGGTGCGCCACACTTTTAGCCTTGTGTCCCACCTAAGCTACGCTTAAAAAAATCATTTTTGGGCACTTAGACGTGGCGTAACGGTTAACAAGCTTGTCTCGCTAAATCAATTACGACAGAATAGTGAGTTCGATCCTCACTGGGTGCCCATTTTGCGCCTCTTCGGTATGGTGCAATGGTTATCAAAAAAGTCTTGATCGATCAACTACGACCTCACAGGTGCTCTCTCTTTCGGTCTTGTGCCAACCTAAGCTACGCTTGAAATTCATTTTTAGATCAGTTTCGCCTGAATAGTGTGTTCGATTCTCTGGGGTGCAAATACTTTTGGCCTTGTGCCCCATGGTAAGATACGCTTAAAAAAAAACTTTTGGGGCCTAAACGTGGCGTAACGGTTAACAAGTTTGTCTCGCTAAATCAATTACGACAGAATAGTGAGTTCGATCCTCACTGGGTGCTCCATTTTTGCGCCTCCTCGGTATGGTGCAATGGTTAAAAGCTTGTCTCGATCGATCAACTTCGACCTCGAAGTGCTCTACCCTTTCGGTCTTGTGCCACACCTAAGCTAAAATATAGAAATTCATTTTTTTCAGATCAATTTCGCCTGAGTAGTGTGTTCAATTCTCACAGGGTGCGCCACACTTTTTGGTCTTGTGCCCCACCTAAGCTACGCTTAAAAAAATCATTTTTTTATCACTTTAGACGTGGCGTAACGGTTAACAAGCTTGTCTCGCTAAAACAATTACGACAGAATAGTGAGTTCGATCCTCACTGGGTGCTCCAAACTTTCGCCTCTTCGGTATGGTGCAATGGTTAGCAAGCTTGTCTCGATCGATCAACTACGACCTCATGTTCAGTTCTAACCTTAACGGTCTTGTGCCACACCTAAGCTACGCTTCGAAATTCATTTTTTTTTTCAGTTTCGCCTGAGTAAAATGTACGATTCTCACAGGGTGTACACACTTTTTAATTGTGCCTCCACACTGGCTGACGCTTTCAAAAAATTTTTTTTCCTAAATAGACGTGGCGTAACGGTTAACAAGCTTGTCTCGCTAAATTCAAATTACGACAGAATATTGAGTTCGATCCTCACTGGGTGCTCCATTTTGCGCCTCTTCGGTATGGTGCAATGGTTAGCAAGCTTGTCTCGATCGATCAACTTTTATTTCATCACAGTGCTCTAAAGATTCGGTCTTGTGCCACACCTAAGCTACGCTGAGAAATTCATTTTTTTAGATCATTTTCGCCTGAGTATGTGTTCGATTCTCTGAGGGATGCCACACTTTTGGCCTTGTATGCTCAATTAAGCTACCTTAAAAATAAAATTTTTGGGCAAAAAGACGTGGCGTAACGGTTAACAAGCATGTCTCCAAAATCAATTTCTCGAAAAATAGTGAAAAAAAACGATCCTCACTGGGTGCTCCATTTGCGCCTCTTCGGTATGGTGCAATGGTTAGCAAGCTTGTCTCGATCGATCAACTAAAGACCTCATTTTTGCTCTCTCTTTTTAGGTCTTGTGCCACACCTAAGTTACGCTTAATAATTCATTTTTTTTTTTTTTTTCGCCTGAGTAGTGTGTTCGATTCTCAAATGCGCCATTTTTATCCTTTATTCCCACCTAAAAATTAAAAATAAAAAAAATCTCATTTTTTGGCCCAAAACGTCGTGGCGTAACATTTAACAAATAATTGTCTCCCTTTATGATCAATTACGACAGAATATTGAGTTCGATCCTCACTGGGTGCTCCATTTTGCGCCTCTTCGGTATGGTAAATGGTTGTCTACCAGCTTGTCTCGATCGATCCTTTATCCTCACACAGTGCTCTAAACTTTTCGGTCTTGTTCCACACCTAAGCTTACCTCTCTAAATTCATTTTTTTTCAGTTTCGCCTGGAAGTGTGTTCGATTCTCACAGGTTGCGCCACAATTTTTACCTTGTCCCCGGTATCTACCATATTAAAAAAATCATTTTTTAAGCACTTTGACGTGATTTTCTATTGTTAACAATGCATGTCTTTCGCTTTGTCAATTACGACAGAATAGTGAGTTCGATCCTCACTGGGTGCCCATTTTGCGCCTCTTCGGTATGGTGCAATGGTTAGCAAAAAAAATCTCTCGATCGATCAACTACGACCTCACATAGTGCTTTACTCTTTCGGTCTTGTAATACACCTAAGCTACGCTTAGAAATTCATTTTTTTCCTGATCAGTTTCGCCTGAGTGGTGTGTTCGATTCTCACAGGCTGCGCCACACTTTTTAGCCTTGTGTCCCACCTCAAGCTATCTTAAAAAAATCATTTTTTACTTAGACGTAGCGTAACGGTTAACAAGCTTGTCTCGCTAAATCAATTACGACAGAATAGTGAGTTCGATCCTCACTGGGTGCTCCACACTTGTGCCAAATTTAAGATACGTTTTGAAAACCATTTTCTAGATCATGTAACTCCGGTGACTGTGTATCAACATGATGTGGCCTTAACCCTGTGTTAAAAGAGAGAGAGAGAGAGAGAGAGAGGGGAAGAGAAAAAAGAAAGATTTTGTTTCCGCATACAATTTCAAAACTCTTGAAAATGCCCTCTTAGACCAGCTCGGGTCTCTGCGGGGAGAGACAGCGAGTGACACAGAGAGAGAGAGAGAGAAATTTTGCAGGTTTCATCTTTAAAATACTTGACATGTTTCGATATATCTGATGCAACGTTGAGGACATATCTACTTAACGTTTAGTGAAATCTCGATTCAGTCATGTACGATATATTGCTAAAATATAGCGAAAAAAAACCCTGTTCTCTTATTTTAACTTGTAATATAGATATGGTAATGTTAATAATAACTGTTTTCCTGATAAGGAAACATTCGGCATTCATTGACAGAGAAGCTACTGCTACTCAAGTTACGCTTTCCTTCACGCGCTGATCATGGTGAAAGATCAAAATGTAGTATCTGTTCTCCTAATCTCTTCTGATAATGTTAATAATAACCGTTTTCCTGATAAGGAAACATTCGGCATTTATTGACAGAGCAGCCACTGCTACTCACGATACGCTTTTCTTCATTCCCTGTCCATCCAGCTAGGATCAAAGTGTAGTATGTGTTCCCATCTCTAATGATAATATTAGCCGTTTACTAATGAGGAAACCTTCGGCATTTATTGACTGAAGAGCCAGTTCAACTGTTGTTTGAAATTCATAAAATCCTTCTCTTAAAAGAATAATCCTTTCAGGAAAATAGGTTTCTCATGTCGGCTGTCATCGCTTTTTCCAGTAATGATTCGGGGTTTCCTTCCTTGCTTTATGTTTGTAGTAGTGTGGAACGCCAACATCTTGATTATGTCATGATTTTCTCTTGGAGCTGTGGCTTCCCTCTGTCTTTTCTACAAATATTCTCATGCCAACTGCTCTGACGAGCTACTTTCACTGGTAAATAACTTTATGAATTTAAGCGTGCTACTAGCTTTTAAATTTCTATCTCAATTTTCACTGTCAAACGGTTAAATGTAAAGAGTGTCTTCTACTCCAACAGCTTCATGTCTCGCACTTCCCATCAGTGGAACTCCCTTCCTCTTACTTGTGTCCATGGTGGCTATAATCGTTAAAATATTCAAATGTAATGTCAATCGACATCTTCTGATGCCTTGATCCTGATCCCCTGTCCTTCTCTGTATCCTTTTCTCAAACACACCGTCTTTACTCTTGCTCTCACTCTCTGTGACCCCTTGCACTCTCGGTTGGGATGAAATGCTTTAAAAGATAAAGATATCCTATTTTAGTTGTTTCTGTAATATGTCTCGTAGTTTCTGGTTGATAATATTGCAATGAAAATACTGGAACATATGATTAGTGGAGAAAAGGTCGAATCACACGAGGGCCATGGGTTAGTAATACGATAATGGCGGCAATACGTACGACTGAACGCTACACCTTGCGACCCACTTTGCGAGCCCCGTTCCTCTGAGCGCACTCATAGCGAATGGACGTATGTTCGACAATGAGTGCAGAGAAGGTCGGTCGTCTTTCTACAGACCAGTTGATCAAAAAAAGTCCTCAGTTGATGTCGTTTCTGCTATTCCGTGGATCTATCTGTGATTGTCTAGCGCCATTCCCCGAGGTTTGAAGAAGGACGACCCTCACTGAGACCTATAGACGTCATTCGATCGAAGACACCTTTAACCATCGAACTGAGAAACGAGTGTATACACTTGTCAGTTTTTAGATGTCTAAAACGACTTTTCACCATGTATGATATCCAACGAGGCTATTGAAGAGCATAATTCGATTTTCTACGTCAATGTTTTGGTTCTGGGTGCATGCATGTATTTATATATATGTATAGGATGTAAATGTTAATTTTTTTTTTCTGATATTATTAAAAATGGGATAAGTATATACGTAACTAAATGGTTCACCGTGGCAGAACCGATTGTTAGTCGCTTAAAATTTTAGTTCCATTTGTGCCCGTGATAGGTCCAGTGGTGCATGACGAGAATGTTACAGTTTTTTGTGTATATGTAATTAGTGACTGAGCTCAAATGACTTAACTCACTTTATAGTCCAATAGAAGGTTAACCAATCAGAAGACGTAGAACATTCAATCCGTCGTGTATAAAGGCGGCCATTTTGTCTACTCTACCCGAATGTCTAGTTCCAGATCGTCAGGCGAAGAGAACCAGAAGGACTAACTACGCTCTGCTACTTTTACCAAAATATCCACTGCTAACCTGAACAACGCTTTCCTACTGTCTTCGAAATATTCACTGCTAACCTCTGGATTCTATACTCGAAGACGACTGTCATCATGAACAACAGGGAAGACATGAGGGACAGGTATCACCGGACTGCCCTCTCGCGACTGTTCCCATGAAACCAAAATTAGTTCCCAGGACTTGGAATATCAGAACACTAAAAAAATGTGGCTAGTTAGAAAATATATGAATCGATTTTAAATGTGAATTAAGTTAAACGTATAATAATTTTTTTTTCTTTCAGATTTAACAACTTAAGTCTTTGGCAATTTCAACCTTGGAAAGATTAACAATCAAACAACGTGTTAAAGTTATCAAAGCCTATTACGAAAATGGACGTTCAAACAGAAATTGAAGTTCCCAGGTCGCATCATCTCTCAAAACAGCAAAGTCAATTGGCCACCATGATCGTGCGACTTGACGTCTTTAGATTTCTTCCTTTGGGGGTCATCTCAAAATTAAGGTCTATGCCAACAAGCCAACAACAATTCAACAGCTGAAGGATGAGATAATAAGGCATATTCGTGAGATCGAGGAGCAACTATGCAGAGATGTCATCAAAAATTTTGACCATCGAATGGAGGTGTGTCGCCGAAGCATTGGCGGATATTTGGGCGATATTATTTTTCAAAAAATAATTGCCATGACTTAAATAACATGTTCCAATAGAGAAATAAATAAATTTTAGCCAATAACACTGATTTATTTACTGCGAACTTGGACCAATTTTAAATGTGAATTAAGTTTAAGCGTCTAATGATTTTTTTCTTTCAGATTTAACAACTTAAGTCTTTAGCAATTTCAACCATGGAAAGATTAACAATCAAATATCGTTTTAAAGTTATCGAAGCCTATTACGAAAATGGACGTTCAAATTTATAAATATACGGTTCAATGATTCCGCTAGCAAAAAGATGCACACCAAACAGTCACCTTTTTGTGCATGCAGTGGCTTTTCAACAATCCTCTTAGGATTTTCATCAGCCAAAATCCAAGAATTCTGCTTATTAATGAATGCACCAAGATGAAAATTGGCTTCATCACTGAAGAAGGGTTTTTGCTAAAAAAATAAAATCAACTTGGTCTTTTTTGCACCAACTGACGAATGTTTTTTAATCCAAATGGTCAGAAGGTTTCAGTTCTTGTGTCAATTGAATTTTGTAAGTGTATAGAGACAAATCTTTTTTTTTAAATTCGATGTAAGGTGGCTGTCCAGAGGTACAGTTCCTGCGCGCGATGACGAATAGATGTGTCTGGATTTTCGGCCACATTCTCGTACACTGCAGCAATGTTTTCAGCTGAACGGCGTAAACGAGCAGGCAATGGTGTTTTCACATCTGCCACCGACTCAGTTTGTTTGAATTTACGAAACTTTTTTTTTCCAATTGCACACTTGAAACTGATCATCAGTGAAAGATCAAAATGTAGTATCTGTAACCTAATCTCTGCAGAAGGCCGGATGTACAACAAAAAACGTTGTGATAAATATGGCAACAAAGACGAACATGATTAGTCCGAACAATGAAAAATAGTGCAATAAATACCTCATCTTTATAATATAGATAATACAACATTTGATTGTTAATCTATCTATGGATGAAATTGCCAAAGAATTAAATTGTTAAATCTGAACGAAAAAGAAAAAAAATCATTAGACGCTTAAACTTAATTCACATTTAAAATCGGTCCAAGTTATTGGAACACTCTATATAAAACAGGAAATTAGCTGATATTTCAGGCGTACGTAAAACGAGGTGGGCAAACAAAGGAGATTTCGTTAGTGCTAAACATGGGATCATATATGCAGCTGGAGAGAAAAATAAAAGAGGACCAGGACTGATATTAGACAAAGACATGAAGAAATGTATTCTGGGATACTGTCAACTATCTGACCGAATTCTTGTCATTAAGGTAAAACGAAAACCTTTCAAAATACCCATCATGGTTGTGTATGCATCGACAGCACAAAGTAGAGAAGACATTGAAAAGTTTTACTCTATACTAGACAAATCGCAAGAAATTAAAATCCTCAATGGACACCTGAAAGTCGAAGTAGGCAATGAGAGAGCAAATTCGGACTAGGAATTCATAATTCCAATATCTGGGTGGAGAGGATGTGGCCAATTGTGCACGACGAATGATCAGGTAGTAACCAACACTTGGTTTCAAAAATGGACGTCTAGAAGCACAGGAGGCGAAAGGAAAAAAACAAATCGACAATACAGGGTGGTCCGATAGACTTGTCACCCATACATGATATGATTTTCTATTTCGGGTAACTGATAAGAGCTGCTACAATATGGAAGAGGCCTTATTAAGAATGCATTGGAAATTACTATTAGGAATGCATTGGAAATGATTTTACTATTAGGAATTCATTGGAAATGATTTTACTATTAGGAATTCATTGGAAATGATTTTATTATTAGGAATGCATTGGAAAATATTTTACTATTAGGAATGCATTGGAAATGATTTTACTATGAGGAATGCATTGGAAATGATTTTTACTATGAGGAATGCATTGAAAATAATTTTAGTATCTATTGGATTGATTAAATGAATTTATTATTAGAATGCATTGGAAATGATTTTACGATTAGGAATGCATTGAAAATAATTTTTATTTATTATATGTATTTAAAATGATTTTATATATAGAATACATTGGAATTGATTTTACTATTAGAAATGCATTGGAAATAATTTTACTATTTAGTTATGCATTGGAAATGATTTTACTATTAGGAATTAATGTGAAATGAATTATAAGAATTTTGGAAAAATTACATTTTTTAATTGAAATGATTTTTATTATTTGGAATGCATTGGAAATGATTTTATTATTAGGAATGATT